ATCCTATTATTAAATATTACTAATCTTTGTCATTTTATTAAAATCATACAGATTTCAGAATGAGTGATTTTTAATGTATGAGTAGGTACTCCTTTTTAAAAATAAAAATGCACCAAACCTATGTTTTTTTGTTTACAATTTGGATTTTTCCTATGTCTGTATTTTTTATTCATCTTTTTAGATAGTAATTTGCTTTAATACTGATTCCTCTAACAAAGCACAATAATTGGATCTAACTTTTACTTAAAAATCTCTTATAAATTTGCCTAACAATAACAATTCAGTTTGTTAATTGAGGTTTTTAGTTATTTAGTATTAGAATCACATTATTGTCTTTATATTTACAGTCTTTAAAATGTATTGACTTATTTTTTTTTATCAGCCTTTTATTTACATTTCATTTGTCTTCTACCATGCAGAATTAAACTGTGATTGCAGTGAAACTGAGTTTTGACACATGGATGCATATAGCATAGATATCCTGAACCAGGAAATAGTGTTGAATAAACAGTTAATATTTACAGATGATATGTAAAATAGGTCTGAGTTTCTCTCTTAATCCTGTAATGCTAGTCTTAACATTGAAATATTAGTGATTTTTCATCTTCAGATATTTAAAAATAAATTGTCTTGAATAAATCTTGCGCGGGATATACGTGTATTTGAATATGCTGACTACATCCATGTCTGTTTCTTTGCAGGGGGACATCCAGCAGTTTTTGATCACAGGTGACCCCAAGGCAGCATATGACTACTGTGAGCATTACAGTCTAGACTGCGACTCTTCAGCTCCCAAGGCTGCGCAGGCTCAGGAACCTCAGACAGATGAGGTGAGGAGGACAAGATCAGAGCAGGTCTTCTAGTTTCAATGATGTGGACATAGGCTTGCAGTTTGGGGGCTTATACCTATTTATTCAATTTTAATTAAACTATACTTTGCATTTAATAGTGTCTTACTATTTCTAGGAAGAAGTGACTTGAAGATCTTTGGTATTGTTTTCCTCTTGTTTAAGCATTTTGTTACTTAAATTTAGTAGAAATAGAGATACCTTACTTGCATACTTTATACATAAGGATATTTCATTTTAGGGGAAGGGGTAAGAAAAAGATAATTTTAACAGCTATATTTCTGCCCTCAGCATTTAAATAATTAACGCAGCTTTAAGGTAAGACTAACTTATCTTCTGCTGTGCTTGCCATTTCGCTAGACCTTTGGCAATTCATGCAGATGGAAAAGTGATATTAGAACTAGCTTAAAGTTTTTAGAATGTGTTGAATAATTAGAGAGATTTAAAAAAATTTCTCATAGAGAAATTATAAAGTAGTTGAACTGGAAGGGATTTAGGCTTTAGTTGGAAGCAAAATTGTATTTTTGGATTTTTTTTTCTCAAGACTTAGAGTGTTAAATTTTAGAAGTGGGGGTAAAAGTTTAAAAAACATCAAGACGATTCAAAAAATAGCTCAAATACTATTTTTCTTCCATTTTAAACATATTATTAGATCCCACCTATACTTTTAACCTGTACTTTTTAGAATAGGTTAAAAATCTTATTTTTTAAATTGTTGCTATTTTTGCCTGTAAATTCAGGCTGTATTTTGCAGTGTAAATGCCAGAAATATGTTTTTTGACACTACTTTACTTTTTAAGGTATAATAGTGAATTCTGTTGCACAAATCTTTCCCATGACTTCATTTTAGTTTTTTTT